AGCTAGAAATATTTATGTGTTTCTGGCAGTGGGAATATATGGGATTTGTGAATCTGGGTGAAGTTGTGACTTGGTCCTGATTTTAAGGAAATAGGACAGCCTATGCACAGAGGGATAATGTCCAGTTTTACAGATGAAAGGCATGGGCTCCATAAATTTGGGGATGGGCGATCTAAGATGTTTTGCCTAAAGACATTCTTTGAACTGTCTCAGTCTGTTCTTTCAACTTAATATCAGGTTTCTGTCTTTTATCAACTAAGCTAATTTATGGATTTAAAGTATCTTTAAGGGATTTGGAATACATTGGACCTAGAAGAAAAGAAGCACAAACAAACACAGGGAATGTTGTTATAGATAATATTGTGTAATTTTGACCGTGTCTAGCAGTTTTGGTCTTTTTAAACATATGACTGCTGTGATATTTCTTGTCTCCTTTCTACCTACCTTTGCTTCTTCTGTCCTACCTCAAAAGCATCTGGAATCCGATGCAGAAGGCATGCTGTCACTTGCCGCTTTTGTTCACTCGTAGATCTATTGTCCATTTTACGCATTAATTTATTCATAGCCATAAATATTGATTGAGCTAATAGTATGTATTGGGTAAAGTTTATGATGATATTAGAGAAGGTGCGGAAGCCCAAGTCTTACCTTGTAAACTAGGAATGGTAAGGCAGCAGGTGAGATTTTTCTTAATCTTGTAAGTAGAGTAAAGATCCCCACCAACTCAGTATACAAGAAAGCTACTGGATTTCTTATTCAGTCTATGTTAAGTGAGGGACTGCTATTGTCTAGAAAAAAGGTCTCAAAAAGGTGTGGTGCTGAGACTAAATTTTTTCAACTATCTCACTAATTACTTGGATAAAGGTGTGACCATCATACTTACTTTTGCAAGAATGAGACAAATATGAAACAAGTATCCACAGTGGCAGTAGTTTTTACTGTCTAGACAAAAGGGCTCAAACTGGGTATAATTTAAGAAAGGTAAACATCACTTTGTGTTTGGGAAAAGACACATGGCACGAGAGTAAAGTTGTGGCAATTTGGCCCTCAGAAAGCCAACACTGTGTAGTACTCAGTTTTATTGCACGAAACCAACACTCTGAAAGTAGCGATCCAGTCCATGTGCCTTAGACCACATCTTCCACAATGGTCTTTAATGGTTTAATAGATCATGTTTAACAGAGCACATCTACCCAAGACAGAGGAAAAATTCTTGAGAAGTTCAGAAACTCAAGGCATGAAGCTGTGTTACCCAGGAAGAGGTAAAAGCCATAAGAATGATTTTATTTACAAAAGTTTATTTTGTAAACTATTTTGGAGCTCTCATTTACTGAATGGACAGGTAATGGGCCCGGGGAAGATGATATTATATCATAAAATACTTGAATTGACCATAGTACGCAGGATATTATTTTAAATGTCTTCTTGGAGTTGACCAGAATCCAAGGAGGGAAAACATCAGAGTGGCAGTGAAAAAAGGGTGTGCCCTTTACTCTTGGTTTTCTTACCAAGTCTGCCTTGGCAGCTATGTTATATGTTGCCATCAAATTTAATTTTGGGGGAAACATCTGTTTAAATGCCCCCCAAGCCTCATGTGCCTTGTGGATTGCAGCCACCGTGAATGGCTGTGCCTTAGCCATGCTACTGTGTCTTGGAGCCAGCTAAGTATGGCCTGAAATCTCCCAAAACTGTAAGCTAAATAAACATTTCCTACCCTAATTTTGGGCATCAGGTATTTTGTCTCAGCAGTGAGAGAAAAGTAAGCATCCTTTTTAAAAAAGCATCCAAGACAAGTGTCCTTCAAAAAAAAAAAAAAATCTCCTGAATCTTGAAATTGCATAATTTTGTGACCTGAGGATTTAAGGTGCACATTCAAGGACTAAGATGCTTTCAGTTTCTCGGAGTGGGGCTCTGCATGTCTGAGTTGTGCATTGTGCAGCCTGTCACACAGTGTCCCCTGGCTGACTCTGGGTCCTCTCAGTCTGGAGAGATGAGACATTCAGGGCCTTCTACATAGCATGTGTGCCTTTGAGGTCTTGCAAAGTAGATCAGGAGAGAAATCAGGTATTTCCAAAGCACTGAATACTTTAGCAGAAGGAAAATCATACTATGGAGAAAGGAAAATCAAAGTTTAAGTTTTGATAAAATTTAGAACTACCCTTTTATTTTTATGGACTTTCTGTAATCGACTTTCTACCAAGGCACTGAGTCAGCCACAATATAATTATTTCCACTTACAGGGACAACATTTCTAAATCACAGTAATGTGATGATCTGCATATTTCAATGCTCCCTGGTACCTGATGTAGACTATCTTAACATCACAGATGCACACTGTTAAAAATAATATTGCTCATGGGATACTATACTGCACGTTATGGGATAAAAAACATTTTATTCCATGAAAGAAATGTTCTCTTTTATAGTGATTTCCCTTTTCTTTCAGAAAATATACAAATCAGCAAACAATACATGACTCATTTATTAAAGCTCCATGTTTTCACTGCAGATTCCTGGTCAGGCTTTGGGATTAGCGCTTCTCCTCTATTATTCCCATACTCTCTGAGTCACCAAGATTTCTTGATGTTGGCAGAGGAGACCACATTCTCATGGCAGTACACGTGGCTAGGAAGGAATGCAATTAGAAGTACGAGAAGTGGAAAGACCACTCTTAGATCCAGGGACTCTCGGCCTCTGCCCTGGTTCCTGTGCTTTGGAAGTTTTTCTTTTTCCTTTTTTCTTTTTGTCTTATGGAAATAAGGTAAAACAAAATTCCATAACAAGATGATAAGGCAATAACAGTAGTTAATACATTGTATATTATTATCAATAAAGTAGTTACTCAGTACAACATATGGGTATTAAAAAATCTCCAATTGATATTATCACAAAACTTCCTTTTCTATGAACTAAGAGACACTAATAGTATAACTTGAATTTTTTAAAAATCTCTTTTCCCTTCCTGTTTGGAAGCTTTTCTAATCATGATGTACAAGTAGATTTCTTGAGGTCTCATTTAAACATTCCCTGTGATTCAGTAGATCTGAGGAAGCCAGGGATTTAGCTCAGCAGCATAAGCACCTGCTTGGCAAGCACTAGGTCCTGAGTTTGATCACTGTTACAAAAAAAAAAAAAAAAAAATTTCAGGATCTGGGGGAGGCCTGAGAACTGTCACCCCTGAGAAGGTCTTACATGATGGCTACCGTGATGCTGCTGCTCTGTGGTCTTTGAGACCCACTCATCCTCTTTTTTCTTTCTCAGAACTGCTAAACTCCCAGGGTGCATCTCCTTCAGAAAGAATCCTCCCTACAGGATGAGCAGTCCACCTGACCCAGGGACCCTGAGCCAACCCAGAGCCTGCTTCCTTACTTCTAAGCCAGAGAGCCCAGAATTCCCAGCGCTGATACCCTCCAACCCCACTCCGAGGACCATGCACCGCCTGCATCTTGTCCTCCTTAAAGACACCCTCACCAGTGTACACACACCTGGAGTAAGGTGCCACAAAGGGACAGCTATGGTAGGATGTCCAGCTGGTGGACCCCGGGGGGATGCAGGATATGTCTGTGCAAACCCTATTGGAGCAGCAATATGAAAGGGATGGGTTGTGAGCAGAGGACCTTCCTTTACCTTCTTAAGGCCATATTGGTTGGTTTTGTCCTTTAAGTATCCATACAGATGACAAGGAGAAGTTCCATTCTTCCTGAATATAAAGGCACAAAATCATGATTCCTGAGTGGTTGGTTCTATTTCATGCAGAACCATTGCATCTAAGGTGCTCTTCCTACAGGGACGGAAGAGTGGTTTCTTCCCTCCATTACTCCTCCCCACACCTCCCGTGAGCCACACCACACAAGCCTGTGTCCGGTGAATTTCAACTCATGTCTCCCTTTCAGCCCTGTGTGAGTATGAGCAACCCCTGTATTCTTGGCTTTCAGTCTTTGTTGCTAAAGTAGAAGTCAAATCAGAGTGGTTTCTGTCTTCCACCCAATTCCAATTATCACTCAATTTAATATTCTTCTTCCTTTAGCCCTAATGCCGCCTTCTTAGGTGAGATCAGGGCCTTTATCTAATTAGAAAATGTGTTTTCTGCCTCCGTTTGTCCTTTTGTATTTGTGCTTTTTTGGCATTCATTATGGTCATAGCCCACTGTCTTCTTTCCCTTACCCCTCTGCTGTGTCCCCTCCTCCTGTCACAGGTGCCTGACAGCTGTGCAGCTGATAAAGTAAAGTAGCTGGACTTGGTGACATGTATTGTAATTCCAGAAATCCAGGAGCCTGAGGTGAGGGTTGAAATCTGAGCCCAGCCTGGGGAATATGGTGGAGACTCTGCCTCCACCTAAAAAGTAAAAATTACAGGGTGGGGGGGGGTGTAGCTCAGTGCAAAGGCCCTGTGTTCAATCGCCAGTATCACACAAACACACGTGAAAAACCTAAACAAACAAACAAAAAACCAGATAAATTATAGTAAGTGGCTGCTGATTAAGTAGGTGACTAAGAAGCAACGTTATTTATTTTTCCCATGCAAGTTTCCTCATAAACAGACATTTTATTTTGTTTCCTCACTCTCGATTCACAGGGGAGGATGGGGTGAATTTGGGACAACTATAAACTGTCCAACTCAAGAAAAAATGTGATGTGATAAAGAGGCTGGCCCGAGGAATTGGGAGCCTGACAGCCTTTTCCACACTGAAGAAACAAAATACCCACCACTTAAACAAAGCACAAAAAGCTGCAGGTCCCCGTTGTTGATCCCCCACCTCTCCCACCCAAACCTCGAACCTGGCATCTCCTTCCAAGTCCATTGGTGAGAGCAATTCCCTCCTCGAGCTGTGAGGGGGTCACCAACACCCCCTTCCTCTTTAGGATTGTTTTAAGACTCTCTTCTATCAGTCAGCCCAAGGACCCTCATCACTAGTTCTGGGGCCTGGACGATATTCTCAAATCTGCGGACGGGACTTTTTTTAATGTCAAAATAAGCCATCTGCTTGTACAACTGTTTCTAATTACTTTCTTGCCTTGCCTCTCCACTCCGGGGTTTGGCACCCACACCCCGCCCAGAGCGCTGCCGCTGCCCAGATTCTCACAAGCGGCTCCTGCCCTGGCCACTGAGGGTGGAGACCGGCCCGTGCGCGCCGGTGTCCGTCGGTCCCTCTGTCTGGCAGTCTGTGGGCGCCACCGCGCGCTCCTGCCCCACCTGCAGAGCCCAGAGCCCAGCATGCGCCCCCCAGGCTTCCGGGATTTTTGGCTGCTGCTGCCGCCGCTCCTCGTGGCCGGGCTGTGTGCTGTGCCGCCACCCAGCTTCTCGCCCTCTCTCAGGTGAGTGCTTTGCGGCGCAGGCGGGCGGGCCTGCTGGATGGAGCCCGGAGACGCTATCCCGCGCCGAGTCAGGAGCGGTCCTGAGGTGGACCAGGGATAAAGACCTTTTGCAACCTGCGTCTGTTTTTGTGCTTCTTATGTTCACCCCGGGACTTGCTCCCTCTCTGTTCTTTAGCTTTTCCGTTGGAAAATGCAATCCGTGCTCACAAACATTTCTCTGTCTGCAGACACGTTCAGGAGGAGTTTCTCTCCGGAGTTAAGAGGTGCGCTTCCAGCCACCTGTGTGACCTCAGGCTGACGATGGCTGTGTTATTTCTGCTCCCAGCATCGTCTTCCTGGGGTTTATATTACATTTTGTATTATATCCGGAAAGAGAATTTGAGGTGCCTCATAATTGCTAAACTTTTCAAAAAGAGTTTGTAAAGATTGCTTATGAAAAAATAAAAGCACCATGCTCTATGATATCAATATATAAATTTGTATAGAAATATATAAAACACTTTCTACAGACTCACCTCCCCCTCCCCATTTTTAAAAAAGAAATAACTGTCCCCCGATAGCAATGAGATAGAAAAAAAAAAAAAAAAAGGAACTGAAAAGTGGGCCACGTGTCCTGCCTTGGGTTAATTTGGATTTAATCTACATGTACATATAGGATTCCGGTGAGGAGCCTGGAAGGGCATGGCTGGATCCCCTCTGTGCCCCTGGAGGAAGCTCTGGGCATTCCTCAGGTGGACACACGATGCCTGGTAATTGGGGAAACACAGGCCGTGCAAGGCGCACGTGGCCCCCAGAGGAATGCAAGGACCTGCTATCCGCGGCGGGGATCGAACTGCATCTTTGCGGGGCGGCCCCGGGGAAGACAGCGGGTGGGGGTAGAGGGGCCGATGCCCGCGTCTGACCTGGTCTCGCTTGCCCCGGCAGGAGCTGGTCGGGCGCCCCCTGCAGGCTGTCCCGGGCGGAGTCCGAGCGCCGGTGCCGCGCACCCGGGCAGCCCCCGGGCAGTGCGTTGTGCCATGGCCGTGGCCGCTGCGACTGCGGCGTCTGCATCTGCCACGTGACCGAGCCAGGCACTTACTTCGGGCCACTGTGCGAGTGCCACGAGTGGGTGTGCGAGACCTACGACGGCAACACCTGCGCAGGTAAGGCGGGGGCGCTGCCTGGGGGAGGTCTCGGTTGCCTGTTAGGGGACAGCGGGCCAGGCGCCTGGCTGCAGGTGAACCCCGCGGAAGTCACTGCCCCAGCCAGGGGCTTCCTTCACTGGACTGTGCTAAGGGTATTTGCTGCAATACTTCGCTCTCCCTTGGGATCCAAACTTAGATGAAATAATACCTGTAAGCTTCTTTCGTTTATTCTAAATCTCATTTGTCTCTTTGAATTTCTTATTCTAAATTCCCCCCTGGCTTTGTGAATGCAGTTAATTTGCCAGCACCCCTGCTCTCATTGAGAATATTAACCCTAACATTTGAAGATCAAGACTGTGCTTTGGTTTCACCTTGGAAACACGTGGGAAGGGTCATTATTTTCATTTCCGGGGAGCATATTTTGCCTTTGAACTCTGACTTGTCCTTTCACACTTAGAATGTGATACACAGACGAGGGTCTTCATATGAAAATTGTAACAGAGAAAAAAATTAGATACACATTTACTTCGAACGATTGCTCTTGTATTGTAGCTGATGAATTTTGGAGCTACCGAGTAATTGGGAATTTTGCGAGGGTTGAGTAAAAAACAGATTTACTTCTCTTACACATTTTAAAGAAGTGATTCAGGTCCTGATATTAGAAAGGGTCATTGATTTGAAGCCAAGAGCCTGGGTTAGTTCCTTGTGAAAGATACAAGAAGTCCATTAGTAAAAGGACAACACAAGGCCTTCCAAGGAAGGTTTGGCAAATCACTATGGAAAAATAGTAACTTATTTTACCCTCGACAGAGCTAGGACTAACACATCCAATATTAACAGAGAGATCAAAACTGAGCTTATGGCAAAATGTTTTTTCTTGGTGACTGGGCCCAGGAATACACTGTGAGAGTTCTTCTTATTTGAGCTGTTTGGCAGTGAAGAACATAGTGGGAGAAGTCATTTGGATGAGCTCAGGTGCGTGTGTGTGGTTTGTTTACCTCCCGAAGGCTGAAGCTCAGCCCTTTAAAAATACTGATGGCTGCAGCTTGTTATTTTAACGTTATCAGCCCACAGACTGCAGAATTATTAAGACTAGCCCTGGGAAAGAAAAGCTAAGTAACATCTAATATTGCATTCCAAATTCAACTGTTAGTCAGCTTCTCTGGCTTTCATTGCCGCTGGCAAGGCCTCCTTAATATCATGAGTTTTGCACAAATTTTCTTGGGCTTTTTCTATTGTTGTTTCATCAGAAAACAAAGAGGCGAGAAGTGGCCTTCAAATGGCAAAGCCAGCGAGTGCCAAGGGGTGAACTGGCTTTCTGAGAACCAGAGCTGGTGCCTCTTGGTGCAGCTGTGCAGAGGGAAGCCATAGGTTTCTCCTTCCATGGAAAGCGATTGGTTGAGTATTCAAAGTATGGATCACTGCAGTCCTTCACTGAGTCACTCATAGTTATGTACAGTTTCATTCATTTCTACAGAAAACCAAATACTTTTCTCTAATTGGGGCTGAAAAAATGATTCTTGCCTTGCAAACCAATGCCCACAGAGGGTTTATTACAAGACCTTGTGCAGAATATGACTCTGCAGTGCTCTGACCTTGTTTGCCAGGGCCGAAAGCGACTTTTACACACTGCATGACCTCCTTACCAGCTTGTCCTGTGCTTTAGATTTAACTTCTGAATTCTGTTTTCCAGGAAGGGTTTCGGCTTCATAATTAGTGTGAAAATATAGCAGATTCTCTATTTGTATGTGCATTTGGACCTTTGACTTTGAGGTAAACGCCATAGGTCCCTGCCAGAAATAGAAGAAAGTCTGCTCCACAAAGAAAGCACAATCTTGCACTCAGTGCATTATAATGTTGTGTGGTACATAGAGACTGGGAGGAAATTTGCAAGATTTAAATCGTTGTCCCATCCGCTGTATGAACATGAGCAGTTACTTAAACATCCTGATCCTTGATTTCTTCATCTATAGAATGGGAATATCAACAGTGACTATATTAAACAATTGTTGTAAAGTTTGACATACATTAAACACAAAGATTAGTGTCTGGGGCTGGGGATTTAGCTCAGTGGCATAAGCGCCTGCCTTGCAAGCAGGCAGTCGTGAGTTCGATCCCCGGTACCGATAAAAATGAAAAAGACAAAAAAAAAAAAAAAAAAAAAAGACTAGTGTCTGATACAAAGTGAGTGCCTAGTACATATCAATATGCGTATGTGTATATAGCATGTGGTTATGATAGTGCTGTGTATGAAGGGTTCTGGGATGCATGGATGGCCAGGCAATGGATGGATAGACGAAAAGATAGCTTAGCCTCATGGCTGCGGAGCTTTTGATTCAGTGAAAGCAATGTAGTTTATTCCATGTAGTCTGGGTCTGTTACTGATTTAAGGTGCCAAGGTCATGCAGGGATAACTGTTCTGGACCCGCCTTGCAGCAGCTGCGTGAGACACACTGTGCCTTTTAAGGTGCGCTCTGCTGGGATTCTCGTTTTGTGAATCATAAGAAACTTACTTATTTTGGCTTGAGCTGGTTGAAAATGATTATGTGCATTCCATCAAAAGTCTGTTTCTTTTAGTGGTCACTTGCTCATGGTACACGAATCTTCCTCAAGCTTCCCGAGCATAAAGTTCTGGCCTTTTGATTGTCTGGTATACAGTATGCCTTTTGGGAGAGCAAAATGCTTGATTGCATGAAAACAAACTTTCATTTGGTATTTACAAAGCAGCCCTGGGTAACCCCATGAACAGCTGTAATTACTAAAAAAAAAAAAAAAAAAAAAAAAAAAAAAACAAAAAAAAAAACAAAAAAACACACATTGGTTTCTTTAAAATATTTTAAAAGTGATTTTTAAGTATATCACTTAAAGGAATTCAGTTTCAGTAACTGGGAACAGCTAAATGCATTTCAACTTAGCAAATACTTATGAAGTACTGTGTGTTAGCCGTTGAAACAGTTATGGTTTAGGTCGAGAATATTCCTAAAGTCCTCATGCAATCACAGATGGGGCTTTTGAAAAGTGGCTAAGTTATGGTGATGGGAGGTGGGATCTGGTCACTGTGGGAATGACCTGAAAGATTTATCTCCCTTCCTGGCTTCTTGTTTCTCTCTCTCTGCTCCTCACTACCATAACTGGAGCATCATTTCTCCACCTGAGCTCCTCCACCTGGCCCATCTTACCTTGGATCCAGCCAACTACAGATTGAAAACAAAATAAACCTCTATTCCTTTAAATTTTGGGTTTCAGGTATTTGTCCCAGAGATGAGACAGTAATTAAGACATGAGTACTATATGGCAGCTCACTGTTGAGTAGAGACTAAGGCAAATACCAAATACCTATAATACAGTGCTGGATACAGTTTCTGTATATTTTCATGAGGATTCCACTGAGGAAGGGATTTAATGGGCTAAAATCTCTTACACTGTAGTTAGCATTACATACAAGTTTTTAAGGCTAGGGAGTTTTTCATCTGAATAATGGACTGTTGGAATTCAAGGTGAAGAAAATCCCAGGTTAAGGTTCAAGGGCAGAAAAGTATGTAGATCTGTTTGGGGAATGGGAAAGGACACAGGGGTGGCTTGTCTGGTCTTAGCCATGTGGGAAATTAGATTTGTTTAGAGTTAGAGTCAAACATTGTGGAGAGCTCTGAACCAAACACAAGCCTTTGCTTGTCTGCGGTACTGGTGATTGCACTGTTCCACATTCCCAGTCCCTTTTTAAAATTTGACATTTGGATACAGGATCTCCCTGAGACACTAAATTGCCCATGCTGGGCTCAAACTTGTGATTCTTCTTCCACAGACTCCTAACACACAAGAATTGCAGGCATGCTTTACCACGCCCAGGATTGTTCTTGTTTCCTTAAACAACATACCAGAACAATTAGAGTCTCACATAGTGGAGAGACAGAGTGCACTGATACAGGAGAAGTCACAGGAGCCAAAAGTCATGACCATGACTGGCTGGAGTAGATGTTTGATGGGGAGAAGTTCAAGTTAGATTCTGTGTATGGTTATGGTTCAGAGGACAGAGAATAGGATGGAATTAAGATGGATTTTACAAATCATTTTAAAAGTAAAATCTGCACCATTCAGTGCCCAAGGACGAGTAAGATAACACATTAGAGCCAGGGCTGAGTTTGTGCATCTGAGTGTCTGGCATGGTAATGCAATGGATGCGATGAAGACAGGAGAATAAGCCAGACAACTTGGTACACACATGAAGCCCTTATTAAGGAACATACGTTTTGACCTGGAGTTGTTGCAATATGAATTATTGCTGGTAGAACAAACCTCTATACACTGTGTACCCACAGGTCTGTGTTGGATAGGAATTTTATCTCAGTTGTGATCTAAATTCACTTGTTTGTGTTGTTCACTGTCAGTCTGTTATTTGGACTTTCTGAAATAGAATTTTTGAAACACCTTGCTATGGAGATGGAAAACCTTATGTCAAGCAGGATATTCAGAATAATTTCTATACTTGTATGGAAATATATTTATGATTTATATGATTTATACATTTATTCAGACTACAGATTCTCACAGATATTGATTTGTAGAGATATAAACACGAATAATATACAGTAACTAAAAAGCACTGTATCATTCCTAAAGTATAACTGGGAATCATTCTTTCTTTTTTTGCAGTGATTTCTGACTTTTACCCTGTTAAGTAACTGGCATGGGAATGATATCTCATTATTCTTGAGCCCTGAACTTTGTGGCTTTTTCTATGTGTTTTCACTTCAGCTGCATTTATTTTCTCTTAGTCTGCTGAGTTAATTCCTGCCAAGCCTATTTTGTGGAATTCTTCTTTGGCTTTTATTTCTTAGTCATTTTCCCTTTCTACCTTCTTTTCCTTTCTGTGAGCCTCATCCTGTCTTACTTGCTGACTCCTTGGCCTCTGTGTGGCCCCTGTGGACTTAGCCCCTCCCATTTGGCTGTCCCTCCATGCCCTGAATTAGAAGCACCAAAGACCCCTAGCTCTCTTCTCCAGTAAACAAACGCACTGACCA